GAAACAATATTAGAGACCGAGCCATTAATCGAGGAGGATATTCTAGAACCAAACGAGCATCCCGAACCAGAGCCACGAGTATTTAACAAGGTCGACCAAATTCCGGCTAAAGACTGGGGGGCTGACTGGAGGGAGCCAATAAAGCACTACATCACGACAGGCGAGCTCCCAAAGAATAAGTGGCAGGCCAGGAAAATGAAAATCGTTAGCGCGAAATTTTGTCTATCAAAGGATGCATTATATAGACGAGGTGTCAGTGACCCTTACCTATTATGCATTTTTGGGCCCGAAGTCGAAATCGTTATGAGCGAAGTGCATGAAGGGTTATGCGGGAGTCATTCATCAGGAAGAGCTATGGCTTTTAAAGTTAAAAGAATGGGATACTACTGGCCCACTATGATCACGGATTGTGTTAAATTCGCCCAAAGATGTAAGCGCTGCCAACTCCATGCACCATTGATCCATCAACCTTCGGAGTTATTCTCTTCCATCTCCGCCCCATACCCGTTTATGAGGTGGTCAATGGACATCATCGGACCATTGCACAGGTCAACTCGAGGTGTACAATACCTTTTGGTCTTGATGGACTACTTTTCGAAGTGGATTGAAGCTGAGGCATATGTTGGCATCAAGGATTCGGCGGTGAAGACTTTCATTTGGAAAAATATTATATGTCGACATGGAGTTCCGTACGAAATAGTCACTGATAACGGGCCACAATTTATTTCACAAGAGTTTGATGCCTTTTGTGCGGACTGGGGAATCAAAGTCAGTTACTCTACTCAACGATATCCGCAAGGAAACGGTCAAGCTGAAGCCGCGAACAAGACAATATTGAGTAATCTCAAGAAACACTTAAATCATCTAAAAGGAGGATGTTATGAAGAACTCCAACCCGTCCTATGGGCCTATCGTACAACCCCGAGGCGACCTACTGGAGAAACTCCATTCTCTTTGGTTTATGGCATGGAGGCAGTAGTACCAGCTGAACTCAACGTGCCCGGACTTCGCCGAACAGAAGCACTGTTAAATGAGGAGGAAAATTCAGCAATGCTTAATGATTCACTATATAAATGAAAGGCGTGATCAGGCTTTTATTCGGATTCAAAACTACCAGCAGGCAGCAGCCCGATATTACAATTCTAAAGTTAAAAGTAGGCCGTTCTTCGTAGGAGATTATGTGTTAAGGCGCGTCTTTGACAACAAAAAAGAAGAAGGTGCCGGTAAACTCGGTATTAATTGGGAAGGACCTTACATTATTACCGAAGTGGTTCGGAACGGTGTTTATAGGTTGAAAGACTTAGAAGACAATCCAGTCAAGCGACCTTGGAATGTGATCAAGCTAAAGAAGTTTTATGTTTACAGCTACATGCATTTTTTATGTACATGAACTACGGTGTGGCTTGATCCCGAAATAGGTACGTAGGCAGCTCGGAAACGAGTTCAGCTATTAATAAAAATTTGTTTTATTTCTTTATTAAAGGAAAAGGTTCGACTGAGCAAACAAATGAAGCAAATAAACGTTCGGCTATGCAAACATACAAGAGATTGGAAATAGAGCGTTTATTCAAACAATTAAAACGGAATGTCCCTCATCGTACACTTCGGATTAGGGAAATCTTGTTGACGAGCAGAACACTTCAACTCCTTGACCAGCAAGATCGAGGATTGGCATCATGCAGTCCGAAATTCGAGCGAAGTCAGAGATTCCAAGCTCGATCCATTTTCCAGGGTGAGAACCAAGGATGTGAAGATCTCTCGATACCGTAGTAAGCCTGCGTTGCATCCGGTTAATCCTCTTCCGAAGTCTCCTCTTTTCCAATGTAAGCTTCCGATGTCGAAGCGTAAGTGCCTCTATGAATGCCATCGCTGTTCCTTGGTCCCTTATTGGGAGATCCCTGATCAAAGCGCACAGGGCTCGGATCTGAGATCTGAAGAAACCGCGAGGTGGAAGAGGCTGCATGTTTGGCTCATTTGGAACGTCTTCGTTTATCATTCCGATCCTGGAGAAGTCGGGCATAGATTCTGAACATCGAAGGTTGAACTCCATACCTAGTAAAATGAAAAAGAGCGGTGAGGAGTAAAGGGAAATTGAGACTACGATTTATAGGAATGTCATGTCCCTGGTAAGCCGCGGATTTTATCCTAGGAATGGAGTGATTCGCGGAAAGATTTATGCTCTTAAATCGACCCTGCATTAAAAGACGTATCTTTGAGAATATTTTGAAGAATAAGGAATAATGCAAATGTTTCCATAAATAAAAAAAAAGGGGCCGAAGCCCATCTCTATACTATTAAAAGAGAAGTACAAATGAAGATGGGTCGGGTTAAAATCAGAAAATTGACCCAAAATTCTGAAATCGGATCTTTGAAATTTTTTTGGAATATAAATTCGAATTAATAATGAAAAATCGAAATAAAATCAAATATTTATGGAAATCAAATAAAATCTGATTGTACTTATGGTAACTAATAATAAAAGCATATTCCAAACAATATTATACATTAATTACGTATAATAAATTTGTTCATATATTTTTGGGACTAATTCCATAACAATCAACGTTTTTGTCATTAATTTCGATTATTTTAGCCAATTATCATTAATTGAAAGATATTTACTTGCTTCTAAAGATTTCTAGAAAATTTATCACAAATAACCTATATATTTTATAAATTAAATTGATATTTTTATTTTGGTCGTGTAAATTAAATAGATATTTTTATTTTGGTCGTGTAAATTAAATAGATATGAAATCCATGTAACTAATTTTAATTTAATTAGATTAAATCGAAATTATGATATTTTCATACCTATAGCTTACCAAAGAATTTTAATTTTCAATTTATAAAGATTTCTTGAATATGATTTTAGAATTATTCAACAAGATGATAAGTATTTATTAAATTTTGTGAATCATGAAAAATAATAATTAATTTTTAATCATTATACTTCATCTTTCAATCTCTCATCTAACAAATAAGATACATATTCTATTATTACTATGTCCAAACTTCATTTTGTTGTATGACTAAATAATATTCCCATTAGAACTGTCAAAGCGAGTTGATTCGTCCCGTTAAGTCCGTTTTGCGATAGACAAAAAATATTTTGACTTGTAGTTAGTCGGTCCGCACGACCCGCGGGTAGCATATATGAAATACAAACCCGTCCCGCGAATGTATGCGGATTTGCGGGATTGTCCATGGATTTAATTTGTTTAAATAATTTTAAAGTAACCAAAATTTAAAATACTACTAAAACAAATAATTAAATCAAAATACTATTAAAAGTTTGTTTAAATTACCACATGTTGAATAAATTATAATTTTATCAATAAATACTAATATGCGGGCTGATCCGCCAACCCGCGGATGAAAACCGATTATACCTATGACCCACTGCGAATTAATCCATGTGGCCCGCTTATTTGCGGGTTTAATATATTTTCCCAAATCTGCCCTATAGTGAGATGATGTGGGCTGGACCCGCGGTTTTTGACCTATTTTGACTGCTCTAATTCCCATGAATCGTCTAATTTTAGAATTTTAAACCACAAAATTCTATTTTGTAAATCATAATTATTACGATGGGTATATTTATAAACAATTTTACATTTTCTCTACAATTCGTTATTATGAATATTTATAAGTATACTACACGATTCGTTCTACTAAAAAACACACACAATATTAAACGCAACATATGTAAACCAATATTCTCCCGCGGTGGACCGCGGGTCCGATCCTAGTTACGAGTTCAAAATAGGAGCAGAGTTAGGGAACATTTAAGGAAGAGGCTCAGGAACAGGCTCCTTCATTGCCGGTTTAACTTTCGAAGTGGACGCCTTGTTCTTGGCATCCACTTCGGGACAATCACGAACGCGTTTTCAACAGGTGCTGGCCTCCTCCGCTTCTTCTACTTCGCTGTCAGATGGAACGGTATAGACCGGGGCGTTCACGGGACCCGGAACTCCTTTAGCGCGGAGATACATCCGGAGCATCTTCGGGATCTCAGCGACAGAATCAAAGTTCCGCCATTCCCATTGAAAGGGATCACTTTCCAAAGCCTGTATCTTCCTCTCCACCCGAGCGATGCGAGCCTCGAGTGTTTGCCTTTTGAGGCCTAGCCGCTGTCTCTCTTCACACAAACGACGGTGTTTGTCGGCGACCTAGCATAAAGATGAATGAATAAGATAAAACAAAAGTTTTTAATCAAAGACGACAGATATTAACCTTGTCAATAAAGTCGCAAGCCTCTTTCTTCTCCTTTGAAGGAAAGTGAAAGACGGCGTAAGGGAAAAGAACGCCGGCCGGTTCAAAGCCGTCGCCGGACAAGAAGAGTGGGCTGCCAGGATCAATGGGGGCTACGTTTTCGTTTTCCATTAATGTGGTGTTATGAAGTTTCTTGAGGAAAGATCAAAGGCAAACAAGCTCTTATTTATAATAGGGTTAGAGTTTGTCTTGGGAATGAAAATTCAATAATGATGGCGTGCCCTAATGGTTTAAACCATTTTTGGAAATCAAGAAAAGGCAGTTATTGCATTAAAGACGAGCCGTTTTTCCTACTTTCAAGAAATAAGAAGGGAAAGAGCAACCGTCGCATTAATTACAAAAGTTTCTAAGGCCCAAGCCCAACAAATTTAAAGAGTTAACTAAACCCGAAGTGGGGAACTCGCGTTAAGCCGAGCTCAGTTCTCGCATTCTAAAGAGAAAGGTCTGATCAGCCTAAAAATCTCGAAAGCATAACCACAAGGCCACAAAAGGTTAAAAGTGGACTTTGCAAACCCACACGTAGTTTTAACCGAACCCTCTTGGGATCATAACCTAGAAAGGTTTAAAGGCCTCCTCAGGCAAATATCTTGTTTAAAAAAAAAAAGGAATGCTAAAGCCTCCTTAGGCAAAAACAAGTTCGAAATTAAGTCTTAAACCAAATGGGACAATCCCCAGTTTAAAGTGGACACAGCCACTACGGATCGACAGCTACCTCGGACTCCGGCTCAGCAGTCGTCATTCGCCTCCTCGACTGATGCTTGGTCAGATGGAGCTCCTGGTCCGCCCTCCACGGTACAACCATCCTCCGGGGTGACCTCCGGTGCCGCAGGAACTTCGGGTGGGACGACATCTTCCGTCCCACTTGAGCCTAGGAAGGACAGTTCTAGTCAGTTAAAAATATAAGGCAAGAAAAATGTAGTAAATGTCAGGAACCAAGAGTTACCTGCCCAGTCTAGACCCGACTCACTTATGGGAGGTGATTCTGTGAAGAATTCCTCGAAGTGGTGAGGGTTGAAGGTCGAAGTAGGAAGAGCTGCTAAGCGACTCCGCTTTTCAGATAGATTAGCCGACAGTTCGGTCCTCTCTTGCTCCTCGGAGAAATCTATATCATGGATTTGATCCAACAGAATCAGGTTGCTCTCGTGCTCCTTGATGTCTGATTCCAAATCTGACCTAGCTTTCTCGGTATGAATGAAGCAGATGGCCCCTTGGATCAACTCCATCCCGCGTCCCTTAACCTCCTTTCTGGCTTTCGATGCCGACCTTGCCAACTCGGAATCACGCAACTTGGTGATCGCCTTTCTCTCGTCCAATAACCAACCCTTCGTAATGTTCAATCATGTCGTTAAGTTCGCCGTTAGCCTGTCATCATACATAAACCCGGGATGACGAGTCAGTTCGAAGAATGATAGCGCCATCCGAAAAATAAAGCGGAACTAACCCGAGATGTATGATGAGCGTGAAGCAAGTAGCGTTCACGAATCGCAGGGCGCCACTTGTCGAAATCTGGCAAGATTGAACCCGATCGGGTCTTGAAGCATCGGAAGACGCTGCCTTCTTTCTCCATAGCTGCGAAGGAAGAAGAGTTGTAGAAATTGGAATCTAAACAAAGACAAAAACTTTTAAGTAAATATAAATCACCAAACCTGAAAGCGATTTGACTTGGGGGACAAGAACAGGCTTCAACTTCGAGGAAGCATCTCGAGACTCAGAATCTCCCTTTTTAGGAGATGTACTCCGGGCAGTCTTCTCGCTGTCAGGCTGAGAAGAGGAAGACATATCAACAGGTCGAGGAGGACCCATTGGTTCAGTAGGAGGGGATGATCGAGGTGAACGGTCAGTCCGGGCCCTTGACTTCTCCCTTCGCGGAAAAGAATCACTACGAGATGATTTATCTCTCTTCCTACGAACCAAGTTCTTAAGCGGTTCATTGCTAAAGTCATCTCGGAAAGGACGAGGAGAGTCACGACGAGGAGATCGGGCCTTCCGAGGAGAACGCTCACCACGACGTTCGCGCCGAGGTGTCGGTCTGAAAGCAGCAGCGGATCTGGCCCCTTCGGCACTGCCATCGTCAACAAGCAAGGTTCTACTGTAGTCCTTCTTATCTATAGAAGCCGCAAGAAATTCTTTTTTCTCCTCGCAAGCCTCAGCTATCGGCTTGGAGAGCGCCTTGCGCTTGGCCGCAAGGGCCCAAGATGACATCCCCTGAATTGAGGGAGGAGGCGGAAGTTGGTGAAGCTGACCTGGGGGACTCATCCTGAGTCTGTGGTTAGCTTCTAGGAATCGTTCAAGTGTAAAAGAGTTCCAAAGGGTTTCCCCTTCGAGGACTATTTTGAAGAACTCGATGAATTCCTCGGACGGGATAGATGGAGCGATGAAAGCTGCGAAGTAAAATAACAAGTTAATTAATAAAGTGAGTGAAATAACTAGAAAAGGCAAATGCGACCTAATTTCTACCAGGCTCCGCAGACCACTTCGATGGTAGTACATCAGAAAGATTTCCGATCGAAGCGGGGGTTTTCTTAATTAAGAACCAAGGATGATGGCAATTTTCATCCTTGTTTGGAAGATGCGAGATAATGTTCCTGTTGGCGTTGGGGTACACGGAGAAATATCCCGCCTTCTTCGACGAACTCCTTACGCTAAGAAGTTCATTCAATTCGGGGACTCCGATAACATACCCGGCTTCCGCCGCTACACTTATAATCCCAAGGATGGTGCGAAGGGCTGCCAAGTATCGGATTAAGGCCTCAGGAAGAGGAAAGGTTAGCCCGCAACCCTTGAAATAGACCTCGTAAACACAGAAATAGTCGTCACGATGGCTTTCCGGAGATTCCATAGGACCGGGCAGCATCGATTCAGCCATGATTCCAGAAGGAATCTGACAGAGATCTCTCAATTGATTAAGAGATTGGAGAGTACATGTAGACATGTAATGTGGACCAGCGATGTCACCCGGGCGGGTGCACTCGTCGTTACTAGAGCCTCTTTCAAAGGATGGGGATTTGGGTCTCTCGGAATCAGAAGTCATCGGAGAAAAATGAAAAATTCAAGGTCCGGCGAAGAAGGGTTCGGCGAAGAAAAAAAGAGAGAAGTTTCAAATAAAGCGCAAATGTAAAAGTAAAAATGATGATGAAAGAAGTTACCTCACGCAAGCTAGGTGATAATGATGAAATCGCCTTGGGAATCGCGGGGGAAGTGGAGAGGTTTTTTCGCTTTAATAGTAAATAATTAATATACGGTTATAATGGCGCCAGATGTCACGCGGCCAAATATGGGTAGCGCCGAGATTAAAGGACTGACGGGATCTTGGTGGGAAATCAGAAGATTCCTCAAAACGCAATCTTTGGTCATTAAAGCATTAAAGTCCTCCGAATTGGAATAGCACTTCGAAAGACTTGGGGGGCTAATTGTTGGTGTCGGATCCCGCACCAGTAGTCCGGGACCAACCAAAGATTGCCACGTATTCAAGGTAATGGCCCACGAAGAACAAAGCCCATTAGATCCGTGAGTCGGAGAAACAGCCGAAGTGGTTATCACCACGAGGAGAATCCGAAGTGATTACACCTCGACATGAGTCCAAAGACGAAGTCGCAGTTAAGTCGGTCCAAGGACATTTTGGGCCAAAAAGGCGAGGCCCATGGAGATCGGAGTCAACTCAAATTCGAACGTTGAGCATTAAAATCAAAGATCAAAACGGACGCATTTAAGAGAGAATAATTATATTTAATTAGCCATTTAAATGTCGTTTTTCTATGTATAAATATGGAGGCCAATGGCCATGTAAAGGGGTCTTTTCTCGAAAAAGAAATACTATAGCAGTTTTGGTAGCAATTCATAAGCTTTTTACATATTCATTTTTTGTCCCTCAAGAGTAATCTGACCTAATTAATAAAAATACTTGAGTGTGTGAATCCGACATCCACAATTTCTACATATCGTTTACGTACCAGTTTGTGATCTTAATTTTTGTATCATGTTACCACCATCGCATGTTAGCTTCGTGACCATCTACTTGGCTTGATAACCTAGAATAAAACATATACCTTTCGACGGCAAAAGATTCATATTTAGTGGGTTTGAATACTACCTTTTGTTTAAATCAACGTAGTGTCGAGTGCAGACTTGATATCTTTTTTTTTTCCATCTCGCTAGCCCATAATTTTACTATGATCTTCTGATATGTTCTTCCGAACCCATCGTAGAGAGATTTTCGTCGATGATCTTGAATTTCAAAGATAATGTATGTTGCTAGGGTTTGCATAGGCGAATATTAGCAATACGATACGATACGATTGTTGGTATTAATTATTATTCGTTAAATCTTACTAATAGAATAAAATTAGTTTATATCCTATTTATTATTTACTATAAAGCTCATATAAATATATCGTATGGTAACCATAATAATTATATATGTTATTATAAATATAAATTAAAAATATATTCCAAAAATATGAGAGTTATAGTATTGTTACTTTTTAAAAACTAACTAATGTGAGATAATATCGAGTTTGTATACGATAATAACGGGATCGTTAAATGTTAATATTCCTTTATTCTATTGAGTATATATTAAACTAATATTCTAAACAGTTAACTATCCATTACATGACTCCGCCTTCCCCACCGGAGTTCGACTCCACTAAGTCGCGTTACCCCGCGTAGTAGGGATTGGCTATGGATCGGGCCTTGTCGATCCAAAGATGTCAAAAAAAAAAAAAAAAAAAAAAACAGTTAACTATCCAAATTATTTATTTTTATTATTATTGATTTTCCATTGCTTATCTCTGATTTTATTACTTACGCCGACAGAGCAAAACCCTAGGTTTAAGTCGAACTCCATCCAGTATAAATACATTGCCTGTGTCCGCTTCTATGACATAACTAACCCCCGTCTTTTTCTTTTTTTTTTGCTTGTTGATGTTTTTGACGTGTTATTAAATTTAGATTTATGTTATTTATTATCGTTCGTTGTGCTATCTCCATATACCGATTACTGATGGTGCTTTTTTCTTTTGTTTGATCGCAGATCACGTCGATGGAGCCATTCTCTACCAAACGATTACATCTATATTGGCTTATCAGTGTGTCTATTGTGAGTTTTGGTACGAATATCTACATCTATATTATTGATGATTATGATTGTGATTATTCAGACAGATTATTGCTTATAATTTTAAATTCTTTTATGAAGCATGATAATAATCCAGCCGTGTTCATACGTATCGGGTTAGATGAACACGTAGGGTGTAACGATTGAGGCGTCGTGGATTGGAAACTCGCATGTCATTACTCTAATTTCATAAAAGAGAGTCAGTGCTACACAATTATGAACTTTGTTGTTATTATGAACCATTCTCTCACTACAGGAAATGTGGGTATTGATAGCACTAAAAAATAACGGTTTTTATGTCTCTGCTATGTTTGACTTGATCGTGATTTAAAGATAGCGTTTTTTGAATTGTAAACGCTATAGATGATTTAAGCGGGACATGCTGAAATTGACGCGGCCAATTTTCGGGTTACTAAAGTTTAATTCCCGCTATTGAATCTGTTAAGAGGGAAAAATGTGAAATTTTGGCTAAGGCAAAATAAATTAAAACAAGAAACATCACTTTTTCATTTTTTTCTTAAGGCAAAATAAACTTCTTCTCTCTCGATTTCTCTCGATTTCTCACAGTCAACAACACATCTCACTTGATTTCACTCGAATTCTCCAATCTGCAACTCAATCTCAGTCGATATCTCTCGATCTCCAACAGGTATGTTCATATTCAATCGTAGCAAATCTATCTTCGTCTCGTTCTCTGAATGTCAATCTCGATCCTCTTATGTGTAGTCTCAATCTGTATCAATTTCTCGTTCAATTCAGCATCTCGTTCGATTCAGTCTCTATTGTTTTTTCTTAATCTCAGTCTAGTACTTCGATCTCTGTCTCAATCCTTCATTGTCACTTTTCATCGATCTTCATCCGTGTAAGTCGAATTTGACATTTACGGTGACATTGTGTTTGGGTTTTGGGTATTTGTCTCATGTAAAGTTTTAATTTACATCGATGAATTTTTTCTTTTGCAGGAAGAGCTTGGTGAAACTTCTGTTGAAGGTTTATGAGTTTCATTTTGATATATCAATTTTAATGTTTTGGTAAATAATTGATATCTAATTGATCTCTATGTGACTGTTCTTGACTTCTTGCAACTGAGTTACGCTCATGAGAATAACTGAGTTACATGTTTTGGCAAGATATCGCTTTCTTGTGATCTTGTGGTGTCATCCAGGTAAAAATACACCGGTTGTGGTACTTCCATTTGTACTTCGTTTGTATAGCTTCCACATTTACATGTTGCTGTTTTTTTTATCTTTATTGCAGGAAGTGGAGATGTGATTGCCCGCTCATCACAACCTTTATTTGGTTTGATGATGAACATGAGGAGGTATATCAAAGTTATTTTATGACCAGATTTTTCATGATAATTTAGTTTCTTATTTGGGTAGGAGAAAAAGATACTCGCTTGTTTCATATGTGCAAGGTGGTTAAATACTGATACTTTGTTTTGATCTCATAGGAAGCTTTATATCGTAGATGCACTTTAAGTATGTTCTTAGGTTCTTCTCTTTGGCAAAGTCTGCATTTTTTGTTTTGGACTGTTTTTTTATTAGTGCGATTAACATAGACTTTCATGTTTTTACGGGAAGCAGCAAAGGAACAATGATTGTAGAGGAATGGGATTAGTATTTAGCCATGTTTTGGCAAGTTGTACTGCCGAGTGAAAAAGACACACCTGAGGCTAACTCCGACCACATCCTGTAGATTTTGTAGAATGGAAGAAAAGTTCAATCCTTTTTGTAGAGTTTTAGGTCTTCATTATTATTTTTGTTCAGTCTTGATAAAGCTGTGGAGCTAAATTATCAGTGGATTGCATTTGATGATGTTTGTTACCATGTTCAGGTGAAATTTTTCACTCTTAAGATTTGTATAAGATCCATATGCTCTTGTTCAGTTTTCTGATTTTATGAGTTTGTTTGATAGGTGACAGTGAAGAATCCAAACCTCTTGTTGCTTGTGGTTTCGTTACCAAATCCACCACCTGAAGCAATGTCCTTTGATGGACTTCCATTAGGAGCTATAGAAGCCATTAAAGCTACTTACAGGACTGGTTTTCAAGAGGTTGAAGTATTGTCTCATATCACATGGAAACCCAAATGGGGAATGATCTTCTCTGACTTTGTTTTCTTATGTTACTAATGGCATATGTTTTCTCTTGGTAAAAATATATCTGAGAATGCAAACACAAATACACAAACTTAAAACATCTTAACTGGAAAAAAATTGAATCAATTATTTTATGGCATGTACTTTAGGTTTCAAGTTAAATGATTTTTAGGATTTTAAGATTTTGGTTATGATTTTCGAATTTTGTAAAAAAAAAATAAAGGAAAAAGAAAGAAAAAAAATATAACCAAATATCTCAAAAAGACACAAATATTTAATTATAATATTAATAATTATATAAATAATAACAAAGTTATAATTTTAAAGAGTTTAGGGTATAGGATTTTGGATTATTTGTTTGAAATAGTAATAATATTAATTATAACAAATAATAACATAAATAAAATTCATTTTTAAAAATAGTTTAGGGTTTAGGGTTTAGTTTTAGGGTATAGGGTTTAGGGTTTAGTTTTAGGGTATAGGGTTTAGGGTTGGAAGTTCAATCTTGAAACATATCTCACTTTTTATAAATTAACAAAATAAAATGCAATGAAATTATTTTAAAGTAATAATACTTGAGTAAAAAAATCTAAACCCCAAAGTTTAAACCCTAAACCCTAAAATATGCCTTAGTGTTTATGGACATATAAGTTAGATAGTTGGAATACTAACCTATATTAGTTGTTCTTAAATTTAAAATTTTATACTTATAAGAAAAAATATTCTAAAAATTGAAATACTTATATTGAATTTTTATAGAAATAATTTCTATTTTTTTCATTAATAAACTATTTTATATGATAATTTTCTGATTTTTTCATTACTAGCCAATGAGAAGTAACCTCCCAGATTATGGGACGAATCATACACCGTTAGATCGCGCCGATTTTGATCTCAGCCGTCCATTCTTATTGTTGACGCGATTAATGTACACCGTTGATCTGTCTTGATAACTTTGATCTGAGCCGTTCTTTTTCTTAGCCAATGAGCATTAACCTCTGAGATTGAACTTTGGCTTATTCGCCACAATTGATGAATTAAATCCAACGGTTAAGATTTTCTCCTTCTTTTGATTAAAACTTATTCTTCTTTTTGCCTTGACTCTTCGTATCCTTCTCTTATGTGAAAATCAAACAGTTGGCTTCCCGTTCACATCTCCGATCAGTGGAGGTCCTGGAGGATATAGAAGGTGGCGGTGAGGACATCTTCGAATTTCTTTTCCGGCTCGCGAGGCGAAGGTGGCTACTTCTATTGATTCCGAGCTGTTAGAGGACGGAGGCTCAAGGCAGATTTCAGTCGTGTATTTGGGTTTATGGGTTCGGTCATCTCCGTGACGGATATTGAGCGGCAGATCTCGCAGCTGAGGGTGGTGACAGCGAAATCAATTCTCCGGTTGCGTCGGTTAAGCTTATGTGGTTAAATCCGGTGTTTTAGATCTGCATTTGTCGGGATTAACGAAATCCGGACAATCTCCGGTGGTTGGGTTAGGTCCGTTGTGGCTGAGGTTGTCGGCAGTTAGCTATTGATGCTTATGATTTGGTTTTTGTTTCAGCCTAAGCAAATTGTTGGGGAGTTATAACATGATAATTGTTTGATTGGCAGCTCCGAGATGGATCGTCGCACCAGGGTACTGTAACATCAATGGAACCGAATGAAGGCACTTTCGTTCTTCACACTGAAAACACTAAGGTAAAGATTCTTACTTTGTTTTATCTTAAACAACAAGTGCAGATGATTGTGATGGGATGGACTAACACATTACCAAACCACGTCATGTGCTTTCTCTATGCGACAGAAAGGAAAAATCAATCATGTTCATCTTGTTGATGTTCCTGGGCACTCTCGGCTTCGACCCAAGCTTGAAGAATTCTTGCCCCAAGCAGCTGCCATTGTGTTTGTAGTGGATGCCTTGGAGTTCCTCCCAAACTGTCGTGCAGCTTCAGAGTAATTTTAAACCCTCTCTTTCTCTCCCACACACACATACATAAAAGACATGTTTGCATCTCACTCTTGAAAAAAATGTTTTTTCCGGCAATAGGTACCTATATGATATTTTGACCAATGCGAATGTTGTCAAGAACAAGATTTCAGTCCTCCTTTGCTGTAACAAGACAGATAAACTCACTGCACACACCAAGGAGTTTATTCGGAAGCAGATGGAGAAAGAAATGTAAGATTTTCAATTTTCATGGCAAATTATATATAAGCCAATCTTGCTGGATAAAAGCTAATCATCATCATTGGTTAAATGAGTTTATGCAGTGAGAAATTGAGGGCTTCTAGGAGTGCGGTATCTACAGCTGATATAGCGAACGACTTCAGCATTGGAATTGAAGGAGAAGTGTTCTCCTTCTCGCATTGCTACAACAAAGTCACTGTAGCTGAGGCATCTGGACTCACCGGAGAAACCGTCCAGATCCAAGACTTCATTCGAGAATACATCAAGCCTTTAGCTCAAACGTGCATTAATAGATTGAATCTACGACTAGATTCTTATGCCTTTGGTCTGTGACTTTGATTTGAGTTTAGTGATCCTTTTTGTATATGAGTTCTTTGTTTGCTCATTGTGGTTCTAAAAGATAGGAGACAGAGGAGGAAGATGAAGATAGGAGACATAGGGGTAGATGAAGATAGGAGATTTATCGATCTTGTATATTTTTATTGATGTAGTATTTTAATAAAAGGTTTTTGTATATATTTCATGTAATAATGATAATAAAATATTGTATTTTTTATTTTATTTTTGATTTAAATACAATTAAAATAATTAACAAAAATAAAAATATTGTAAAAAATATATATTACTGAAATAATTAATCAAATATAAATATTACAGAAAAAACAAATTATGAAAATAGGTACAACCCAATCATAACGATTATTACACGTTATTATAAATATTAATAATAGCAGCGTCTTAAACGCTATCGTTGTATACTTAACTATTGCACAACGCAAAACCGCTATCAAAAGTGTCCGACTTTCTATATCGGGCGATGTCAGAGCGCTTAAGGAAACGCTATGGTAGATGAATAATTGCGTTTTTCGGCCGCTATTAATACCCACATTTCCTGTAATGACAAAAAAAAGGCAACTCCTCACCCTTACAAGAAAAACTTTGAAAAAAACACCGTTGTCAATAGATCTTTCTATGTTCACAGTGCATGGAGTTCGACTGCGTTTTCTTCTATTATTTATGATTTCGCACATACGTCCGTCTTAACAGGTAAAATCTAAAGATTATGTTGTCCTAAAGTTAAATCTTTTTTTTTTTTTTTTTGCCAAATGTTGCAAACAGTACCCTTGATATTCATGGGTTCATGATTTTTCTTTTAAAATCAAAGACAGAATGTTAGCCTTCATCTTTGATTTTTTTTTATTTTCCTAAATAATTATTGGATTATTTTGATAGGGTTCTTTATTTTTTCTGGTTAAGGAATTGTGTGTTAGATGGTTTGGCCATGAAAAGAGAGGCTGTGGATTTTGATCGAAATTATCGACAGTTCGGTGCGGAATTACCTCTTATCGTCCACTTGAGATAGTGGAAGATTGATCATTGTTTTGACGGTCCAAAAAATGTCAGGATCTTCACCAATGGCCCTATTTCGACAGTGCAAATTATTTATGTAACTTTTGTTTGAAATTATTATGGTATTGTGTTATGTTTTTATTGACAAATGACATTGTTTTACTTTAAATCATGTTCTGTATTTTTTTTTAAGTTCTGTTGAACAAATATCTTGTAGTTAATCGTTTCTTACAGCGCCTGGTTTATAAGTCTACTAGATAACAACCCGCACTATATGCGGGATAAAGTGATTCAAATAAAATTATTATCCGAAATCCAATCATACAAGATCCGTTTGTGTAAAACGAAACATGTAATTTTTTTTTAATTTAAATTTGGGACTATTTCGTATAAAAATACGTTTTACCCGTGAAATATTTGAACTTGGAATAAAGGTTCAACGTGATAAAAAAAAGTATTTACAAAATATTACCATTTATGGCAATATACCATTTATAGTATAAAAAGATTTTTTTTTAAATTTAAATACAAGGAATCCAAAAAATTTGGCAAATATGAGATTTGATAGTTTCCATTTCCAAGTTAAGATTTTGTATTCCAAATCTAAGATTCTTAGAGTATGAATGAAGTATTTACGAAATGGTTATAATGTGGCCAAATTTTGGTTTATATATAAATGTGGTCATAATATTTTTCTTGGAAAAGTTAGAATCCCTTCATAAAAATTGGATTTTAAGTATTCGTAATATATATAGAAAAGAGATTATCTTATTTATTTAACTACAATAGATATAAAAATTTATGAAAGATGTAGAGATTTTGTAGTTTTGAATTGAGATTCTTTAACCAAATGTATATATTTTATCATTTAAATATAGATATAACATATAAAGATTGTTTATACATCGGCTAGAGAAGATTATATAAATGTGTATAAAGAAAAATATAAATATAAAGATTTATTAATATAAGATAAACAAAAGTGTATTTTTTAATTATTTAAAAAAGTTATTAATATAAATAAAGAAAGTTCTCATGATTTGTTGTTAAATATAAATATGAAGATTAGTTGCCTAATTATTTGCTTTTTAATTATAATTTTATTTTTTATTTGTGTGATATATGTATGTATTAAGACTAATGGCAAAATCTGTAAATAATCTAGTAAAATTTGGGTAAGAATTTAAATAGGTGGAAAGTCACTCTGAAAGCGACACGTCAGCATGGCAGTTTGGTTAATAACACGTGAATGTAAGGTTTATTTTTTAGAATGCTTCCCTATTAATATATAAGGGATATCGAAGAGCCAAGTATGTGTTCATATTTAATAATAAATTAATAAATTAAAAGATTACATCGAATCCTCAAGATATATCTGAACATTGATTATTTAGTTCAGTAAAACAATTGGACTGTTTGTGCCTATTGGTAAACTGTGTAAAAGCTACACGACTTCAGATTTCCGTAGCTTATGGAATCATTATACAAAGTTTCATACCCTAAGTATTACAATTATTTTTAGGCTTGTATAAATGATTATTTTATGTATTCTGAAATTTAGACTAACGAGACAAAATATAGGTTCGATTATAATATTTACTATCACAAATTGTTATATACAGTTTATGATTATATTGTTAATATAAAACTTTCTCTGTGATTTTATTAAATTATAGCATTTTTATTTTTATACGATAATATTTACATATTCGCTACAAAATTTACATATATCCCACAAATTATCGATACTCTAATTTATATACTTTCCGAAAAATAAGTGATATATATACTGCCCGGAAAAAATAATATCTACTATCACAAATTGTTATATACATGTTATGTTTATATTGTTAATAAAAAAACTTTCTCTGTAATTTTATTAAATTATAGCAGTTTTACATTTATACGATAATGTTTACATATTCGCAACAAAATTTACATATATCCCACAATTATCGATACTCTAATTTATATACATTCCGAAAAATATGTGATATATATCCTGCCCGGAAAAAGGCAAATATGTTGAATAGTCCAAAATATCCTGTATTGTTTAACATCTATAAATAAATAACAATATTTGAGAAGTGTTTTTGCTGACGTGTCGGACTCTCGGCTCTTGTTGAGCCCTTGATTTTGCGTAATTACTTAAATACCCTCTATTAAATTAATTCGAATATTAATTAAAATTAAAAAAATAACTGACCCTAAAATATAAAAATTCGATATATTTTACATTTTTAAAAATAGTAATATTCTTAAACACGAAAAAATGAAAAAAAAATAAATAAATTTGGATCAAATGTAGTTTACATACCTTTTTATGACGGTTTATCGTTCGACCAAGAACATCCAATGACCACCAAGAACTTGTTATCCTACCATAAAACATATATTCATAGCAATAACAGAAATTTGGCAATTTAATGATAGAAAACCACCTTTTGATCTGTTGAATCATCATAGAAAACCATCATATTGGCCATCCTTTGTCTTTAAACCATCATATTGATATGATCTTGCATCCTACAATTGCAACCAATCAAACAAACTATTCTTTTAAATTACCTTAGATAATAAAGAGACTAATGAGTCTCGTGGGAAAGATTTTCAGGATATTCGTTTTGGAGCATGCACAAAATCGACGGGTATATTAATCTCCACCAATCTAATCATGGTCGTGAGTCACATACAATTACGTCGGAGAAATGATTGGTCGTGTCTTCTTCTTTTCTCTTCCTTTTCCATGTTTTTTTTTCCTTTTTGGTTCTTTTTTTTTTTCAACAAAAGATGTGTCTCATAATTAATCGTTTAATTATATTTTTGATATATTAATGATAAATTTATGTTGTGATAATTACGAGCCAATTGTTTTTAAAAGTAAAATTTACTTTTCTAAAATATATAGATATTGCCGATAATATCAAAACAACTATCATATATTCTTTAAATTCACAAATCTGATAAAATAAAAGAAACTTTCTTTAATATTTTATACCGATAATGATGGTGTATCTAAAAAAATGTCAAATATAATTGTAAATCTAAAAAACATTATGTTATTGTTCCATTTTTTAACAAATAAAATAAGGAATATTTTTTTATAATTAATATCCATAGTAGTTATTAATTGTTTTTAGGAATATTAATTGTTTTGATAAAGATTTGATCTAACACAATATTTAAATCTTCCTTTCTTGTTGTTGTAATTATCTTCAAAAATTAAAGATCGTACACCGCCTTTCAGTTTAATATAAATACCTTCTCTAGGTTTCACTTTCAAATCATAACTAACCCCATTTTTTTTGTTTTCTATTTTTTTTTTATTTTATTTGGCTTTACACATATGAATTCATGGTGTTTATGTATGGTTATAGGTTACGGATACAACGTCGTTAAACAATTTCAGGACAATTAAATTGCTGATTCAATCGAACATATGGTGAGTTTTTCACTTTAGTACTTTCATGTTTAATATTTAAATTATGCTTGGATGTATTGAGAAATCTATAAGCTTTCCCATAATATTTTGCGAGCAGCTTAGATTTAATATTCTTCACTAAAAAAAAAAGAAGCTTTGATTTTGTATTTACCATATTCTTCACTAAAAAAAAAAGAAGCTTTGATTTTGTATTTACATAATTTGATATCAGTTTGATTATTGCTTCCATCATGATGCAAATTACGGCCTCTCAACAACCCTAATAGACTATAATCGTTGGGAACTCTTCTTTTTCTCTTGCTTCTCTCTGATTATCTTTCACCAGGAGTCTCAATTATTATTATTTCTTTGTATTGATGCGATCAGAAGTTTTATCTCTTTTTTAAATACTGATCTCTTTGTGGATTTTTCATTTAGGTATGAACATGGTTCGTTTCACGGGGTGTTTCGGTGTCTTGCCTTGAATCAAGGCGTGTAAAAACGTAAAGCTTGTTTTTATCTATCTTTTTTTATTGTCACGTCTTTATCCATCTATGTAACGCTTAATCATCAATTATTATATTAAACTTCAATAAAGGCAACAACATCTTGGTTGGTTTGTTTTATCTGATTAGTGTACCAAATTCAATTGGAACTATATCAGATCCATGAAATTATTGATTATTGATACATGCAGGTTATGTGTGATCCTTATACACCAGCTGGTGTTCCAATTCCAACCAACAAGAGGCACAACGCTGCTAAAATTTTCAGACACCCATCGTTGCCTCCGAGGAGCCTTGGTATGCTCATCTTCTTCTTTTTTGGCTATACATATTATTTTCGTTACTATAAATTCTAATAGTGTTTGTTTTTTTAAACGATTGTATGTTTTGGATGAATGAAAGCAACCACGATGCATGAAGAAGATTCAGGTGATGTTTCAATTGATCTTTTATCTTTAATTTATCGATTTTCTAATTTTACAAAAATGTTCTCACTGAGTAGAATATACTTTTGAGTTTTGAGTTAAATCTTTCACAGTCTGTTGTGGATTAGCAACGTTTCAAGCCATATTAACTATTGTGTTGTGGCAGTTCGAAAGATTCATATAAATTGGACTATTGCTACAAAAAAAAAACAGAATCACAGGTTCAATTCTATCAAATGAGATAAAGCCTCTTATCTCTACTGTCTGTGAGGGTAAAGATGCTAATGTCATCGCCCACGGAGCAAGAAATTGCGGAAAAACACATCTCATACATGTATTGAAAGCAATCCCATTAAGGTATTGATTATCAGACATGATACTATAGATGAAAAATGCTAATTATTGTATCGTATGGTTTGTAGGGAAATGATAGGGAGCTTGGTTTAACCGTTCTTACAATGTCTGAGATGCTATCCATGGCTGTATCAGTTTCTGTATCAATTTACGAGGTTTCTCAAGAAACCGTGTATGACCTTTTAGACCAAGAGAAGCGAGTGGTTGCTGTACTGGAAGGTGCACAAGGGAAAATTCAACTAAAGGGACTTCCTCAGGCAAGTCATTTATTGTTCTTGATCATTAAGTCTTGGAACGTCATATGTATTTTGGAGATTACCATCATTAATATTTCAATGTTTCTGCTTTCAGATACCTGTGAAGTCACTCTCAGAATTCCATAAAGGTGTGATGATACATGTTACCACTGGCAACGCCAATCCAGGCTCCCTTGGGAGGATGAACTTTCTTGATATGGCAGGTTGAGTATTTTAATATCACATTTTAATTGTCTTTTCTATGTGATGATCTTATGTCAGCATGTGATTTGTGTTGTCTTTCTCTTATAGGATATAAGGATTCTGATAGAAGCAGTTAAAAGACTAATTACTATTTACTAAGGTTTCAATTTAACCAAGGTTTATTATGAGGGTAAACCATAGTTGGTTTAGCTTTTCTTGTTTGGTCTATGTCTATATATAATGTCTGAGAGAGTTGTGAGGGTCTTTTATCGAGTAATTGGAGAAATCTTAGGGGGAGTGGGAGGAGCTCCATTGTCAAATTCCTCGAGTCCTTGTAATTCTCGTCTTGATAATCTATGAAATACCCTTTTCTATAAACTACTCGTATCAGATTCCAGGAAACAAAACAGTGCTCTAGCTCCTCTAGAGATTGCCAGAGTTAATACTTTGATATATGCTTTACAGAATGTCATGTATGCTCTCAACGGAAATGAATCCCATGTGCCATATCGGGAGAGCAAACTCACTCGAATGCTGAAAGATTGTTTAAAAGGATGCAACAGACGTTGCTGATCACATGCTTGGTATACTTTTCTTGTTGTTGAGTTCGTTTTAAGTTTATGATTCACTGAATGTAACTGCAAGCGATGCTAACCCTTTTGTATTTTTTTTTGCCTCGGGAATATAGCCAAAACTCCTTTTACATGTTAAACTTAGCATCACAGATCTGTCTATGTAGTAACCGAGCCATGAATAATCCTACTAAGAAGAAGATCAACGGTCTTGAAAGATCTATTTCATTATGCTCTGCCGCTCAAAGGAAACAGATACCTTTGATTGTGTCTGCTACTTCTAGAAAACAGACAGTGCTAAGGGAAAATGTGACAGAGAGAAAAGACTAAAATCAACACTGATGCTTCTGTAATTAAAGCAAGGTAAATCTTTCAGAAACAACTTTGTATCAACTCTAAGCCTCAATATCCATGATATACCTGCACTGCTCTGTTGTTCAGTTTTAGAACATCAAATAATGATGATTTTTTTTCTCAATGTTTGAAGGAAAATGTTCCGGGAAGCAAACGATTCGGTGAAATGTAAAAATAGCATGTTGGAAAATTTAATTAATACGTCATGAAGTTGAACAATCTAGATTCTTCCTTTACAAAGAGGTAATACAGAGGGTATAGAAACAGAGACTAAGAGACCAAGAGTCTTAATTAAGGAGGTTTGGTATACCACTTAACCCTAATCAATCCACTACTTACTTGATAAAGACATATTCTCATCATGTATATTTGATTAGATTAGCTAGGCTCGTAATATGGGACAAAACCCCGAAGATGAGCAAGAAATGCTTTGAAAGATTTTATCGTAGCATGAGTGTCATATCTGCACCCTTCAGTGCTCCCTTGTAAAATCAGAGTATCTGAGTATAGATACTTAATAGGTTTAAGTGTTCTTCGATATTGGACGATATGTTCCAACTTATACTGATACAAAGGTTATACAGATTTTTGGTTTTTCTAATAAAATAAATTGTTTGCTGAAAGATTACTATACCTTTAACAATTTTATTTTGTTTGTTAGGGTCACGACATACATACTATAATTGATAGAGAGTATTATCGTCATCGTGGATTCAAGTTTTTCCAAGGACGATGGATACATGGCCGGCCCTATAGACATCAACAAGAAACTTTTGCTGTAGCCCAAATTTTGTTTCTGACATTCTTCAACAAAAATTATTTACGAAACGGCCCTAATTTTATTTATTTTACTATAATTGGCCCTAAATTTTAAAACCTTTCAAAATAACCAAAATTTTTTTTTTGAGTATTTGGCCCTTCAAATCTCAGGGCAGGCCCTGGATGGATAACACTTAGAGATTTTGATTCATGTTATCGGTTCGCTTAGTCCTACTTTTTATGATTTTAAAATTCATTGGAATTTATCAATCTTTGTTTCACATATACCTTCCTTGGGTGCGATTGATTACTGCGCATTCGCATCTTTTAGGAAAATTGATACTTAGTTTTGAGTATGTTTATTTCCCTGGTCCCATAATATCTTTTGTTTGGATATTTTATTCTTTGCATTGTTATGGTTTGATCTATTAATTTAAATAATTATATTTAATTGGTTGGGTCGTGAGTGTTAGCAATATTGAAGACGGAAAACCAATAATAATGTGTGGGATCAAGTTTATGTGGAATTAGAAGATGAATTGTAAGTTATTAATTTAATCAAAATTAGATTTGTTATAGTTTAATTTGGGTAGTATGCTAAAAACTTAATTTTATAATAAATTTACGTCTATAATGTCGACTACATGGTGGATCCTGTTGTAAATTTTTGAGAGAACGGAGTAAACAATGCGATAATATCACCATATTTATCATGAGATTCACTAGAATAGAAGTCACTCGATGTATTCGAATATTGTTGTTTTTCATGTATATATAATTTCTGAATATTTATTAGTCGATCACGTTTCTATGATATTGTTTCTTATGGTTTTGGCTACTATTGTTTGCAATGGCACCCGAATGATGCTAAAAAATATGTGTACTGAAAGTTGCAGGAATGCGGAGTTGTTTTGTGCTAAGGATCACAGAAATTTTTATTAGTTACTAAGCTTATCTATTTTTTTTGTTACCATTTTTCCGAATTGTTTTTTCCTAAACATGTAAATATGATCTAAAATGAAGTTTGAGGCTTTACAAAAGATAAATAATTACACAAAAGCAACCTTGGCAAAAAAAGAGATAAAAACAAGACTACAGTAGAGTAAAGAAAGATTTGGAAATAGATAACGAATCCAAATAAGCATAAGCTTTGTTCATCTCGAAGTGATGATGTTTCGTAGCTCCATTCCACCATCTTGAAAATGATTTGAGCAGCAAGCCGCAAGGAGTTATGGAGAATGTTATTACGCTGTCGCCAGAACTTATAGACCACCACTTGAGATGCTACTTTTCTAAGCAAAGAAGGCACATGACTGGAAGAGCGTCATGTCCAAGAAAATAGCTCAATCCAAGAGCAAAACAACCTTTGTTGCGGAAAAATCCTAGAGAAAACTAAATTCCACACCTGGAAAGAGCTCACAAAGGAGCAGAAGGTGATCATGAGACTTCGTTACAAAAATGCAAAGACGACACTCATTAGATTGAATTTGTCCTCAAGAAGCCAGTCTTTGACGAGTGGGCAATTATTTAAGTGACTCTGGAGAGGAAGAGCGTTAGGACAAAGAAAGTAACTCAGCCTAAGAGCAAAACAACTTTTGTCGAGAACAAAGCCTAGAGAAAACTAAATTCCACACCTGGGAAGAGCTCACAGAGGAGCATGAGGTGATACCGAGACTCTGTTGCAAAAGTGTAAAGACAACACTCATCAGATTGAATTTGTTCCCAAGAAGCCAGTCTTTGATGAGAGGGCAATTCTTTAAAAGTGTAAGGAGAGGAAGAGCGTTGGGTCCAATAAAGTAGCTCAGCCCAAGAGTATAACAACCTTTGTTGAGGATAAGGCCTAGAGAAAATCAAATTTCCCACCTCAGAAAAGCTCACAGAGGAGCAGGATGTGATCCTCAGACTCCGTAGCAAAAGTGCATAGACAACACTCATCGGATTGAATTTTTCCCTAGGAAACCAGTCTTTAACGAATGGAGAGGACGATTGGAGATTTATTTAAGTGTCTCAACAGAAGAAGAGCGTCAGGTGTGATGTGTTGCGTTTTTAACGGTTTCGAGTCTTGGTTTAGTCCATGTTTTGAGTCATCTATCGTGTCAAAGTCCGTCTTTTGCGTCTTTTCGGTTGTGTCTTGAGTCCTTTGCAGGTTATAGGTGCTCGAGCTGGATTCGGAGCATCTTGTGCATGATTGAGCCTATTCGGAGCTAAAACAATGGAGAAACGGTACAAGAGATCACCAGGAGCTGGGGATCGATCGATCCAAGGCGTGGATCGATCGATCCCAATTGTGACGATGAAGCCAAAAGTTCCAGTAGCTCGAGATCGATCGATCCCAGGAGGGGATCGATCGATCCAACCCTCATCCGTCCAGACGTGTTCATTCCAGGAGCTCGGGATCGATCGATCCCAGGTGGGGATCGATCGATCCACCCTTTTTCGACGACCAGACCGGTTTTCCTTAACCGGGTTTATTTGCCTTTTTCTGTACTTGGGTATAAAAACCCAGAGAAACCTATTTTTCTCTCCACGTTTTCTTTCTGCAATTTTTCTGAGACTTTTCTCTTGTAAGCAACCTTGGGATTCTAGAGATTCATCCTCTTTGACAATTTGGAGAAGATTTCTAAACCCTATTTCTTATTTTCATTGCAATTCAATTATGTCTTCTTCATCTATTTGTCTTGTTTCTGTTGCTATGTGTGAGTAGTCTTTTAATTAGGTGTTAGGGTTCTAATTAGGAGATTCGATAGATTAATGGATTAATTGTTGTTTGGAATTCTCATTCTCTAGGTTCTTTGATTCACATGTTCTTAATGCTAGAATAGGATTGATCACCCTGTTGTAGAACCTAGGTTTTTCTATGCATCAAAAGTGTTCGATAGAATGCCTGAAGGAATGTGAATTGAGCAATGTATTTCTAGCCAACGAAAGTTGAAGTTAGGACGCATTGTGAACTAAATGAACTTGTTTGATAATGCGAATTTGACTAGGAAATTACATGCGAAAGTTTAGTAATCGAGTAGTCAAATTTAGTGATTAATGTCTTGAAAGAGAATTAGTCTAAGTTGTGTTCATGTTCAAGAACGGTTCGTAATTGTTGAATTCCTTGTCCCATGTTTCCATTGTTTATTGATCTCTGAAATACCCTAATGCCTAATGTCTTTAAATCTTGAAACTTAAATCGTTTAATTTAATTGCATTTTTATTTTACAATTCGGAAAACTCAAACAAAACAACTTTTTAGTTTTAGCTAAGAACAAGTCTCGAAAATCCTTAGAGTATCTTTGGTCCTTGTGGATCGACCTCGAATATACTGCCTAACGGTTAAGTGTATTGAGTTAATTACTCGAGCAATCAAGGTGCCAGAAAGTAGCTCAACCCAAGAGCAAAACAACCTTTGTGGAGGATAAATCCTAGAGAAAACTAAATTCCACACCTGGAAAGAGCTCACAAAGGAGCAGAAGGTGATCATGAGACTTCGTTACAAAAATGCAAATACAACACTTGCTCCCAAGAAGCAGTCTTTGATGAGTGGGCAATTATTTAAGTGACTCTCGACGGTTCAAGAAAGTAGCTCAAGCCAAGAGCAAAACAACCTTTGTCGAGGACAAAGCCTAGAGAAAACTAAATTACACACCTGGGAAGAGCTCACAGAGGAGCAAGAGGTGATCTCGAGACTCTGTTGCAAAAGTACAAAGACAACACTCACCGGATTGAATTTATCTCCAAGAAGCCAGTCTTTTACGAGTCGGCAATTATTTAAAAGTGTAAGGAGAGGAAGAGCGTTGGGTCCAATAAAGTAGCTCAGCCCAAGAGTAAAACAACCTTTGTTAAGGATAAGGCCTAGAGAAAATCAAATTTCCCACCTCGAAAGAGCTCACAGAGGAGCATGAGGTGATCCTGAGACTCTGTTGCAAAAGTGCGTAGACAACACTCCTCGAATTGAATTTGTCCCCAGGAAACCAGTCTTTAACGACTGGAGAGGACGATTGGAGTGAGATTTATTTAAGTGTCTCAACCGAAAAAGAGCGTCAGGTGCCAAAAAGTAGCTCAACCCAAGAGCAAAACAACCTTTGTGGAGTATAAATCCTAGAGAAAACCAAATTCCACACCTTGAAAAATCTCACAGAAGAACACGAGGTGATCCCGAGACTCCGTTGCAAAAGTGAAAATACAGCACTTGGCCCCAAGAAGCCAGTCTTTGATGAGTGGGCAATTATTTAAGTGACTCTCGACGGTCCATGAAAGTAGCTCAGGCCAAGAGCAAAACAACCTTTGTCGAGGAAAAAACCTATAGAAAACTAAATTTCACACCTGGGAAGAGCTCACAGAGGAGCAAGAGGTGATCTCGGGACTCCGTTACAAAAGTACAAAGACAACACTCATCGGATTAAATTTGTCCCCAAGAAGCCAGTCTTTTACGAGTCGGCAATTATTTAAGTGACTCTAGAGAGAAAGAGTGCCGGGTCCAAGAAAGTAGCTTAGTCCAGGAGCACAACAACCTTTGTCGAGGATAAAGCCTAGCGAAAACTAAATTCCACACCTAGGAAGAGCTCACAAAGGAGCATGAGGTGATCCCGAGACTCCGCTGAAAAAGTGCAAAGACAACACTCATTTGATTGAATTTGCTCCCAAGAACCCAATCTTTGACGAGTTAACAATTATTTAAGTATCTCATGGGTAGAAGAGCGTCGGTCGAAGAAGTATCTCAGTCCAAAATCAAAACAATCTTTGTCGAGGATAAATCCTAGAGAAAACCAAATTCCATACCTCGAAAGATCTCACTGAGGAGCAGGAGGTGATCCCATACTCTGTTACAAAAGTACAAAAACAACACTCATCATATTGAATTTGCTCCCAAGAAGCCAGTCATTGACGAGTGGGCAATTATTTAAAATAGTCTGGAGAGGAAGAGCATGATATCAAAATTAACGTAAGAGTTTTGACATCAATATCTTTAGGATAATGGAAGGAGTTTCCAAATGAACATAATCTTTAAACTTCAATGTCTTGTAAAAATTGAAGGATTTTGTAAGTTAACATAATATTGTCGATGTCACATTATTGTCATTGTCACATTATTAAATTTGAAGTCAAGAACTATTGGTACCTTCGAAATTTCTGTTGTTTGTAGTTGTGAGCGTCTCCGGTATCG